ATGGCCGCCCCTCTTGAGCGAGCGGCGGCGGCGGCGGCTGGAATGGGGCTGGCGCTACGGAGGGACCGCTGAGGAGGCTGAGAGTAGCCGGGGTCGCTTCCTTAACAGTGTGCGGTGGGCTGCGGCGGGGGACAAACGCACCATGCGGCGGGGCTAGAGCCGTAGGCTCCCACCGCGAGTAATGATGTTAACTGAGGTAAGAATTCGGCGGCGGCGGCAAAGGGGGCGGATTGGGAAAGGGAGAGGAGGTTGGTGGGGTCCGCCGTGGCGGCGTTTGTGCCTTATTTTCCTCCTTTTCTGGGGCTCTCCCGCTTTTTGAGGACTTTCTTTCACCCAGTCTCTCGGCCTTGGACTCTCTAGGCCCACTTTCCTGCTCCCTATCAGAGCGCCGCATCGCTCTTCTGGGATCGATTGGCCTCGGGTGAGTTTTATCTCGCGCTGTGGTCTGGGTGTTCCTTCGGGGCTGCCGCTTCGGAAGCCGGCGAGGGATTTTCCCCTCCGCTTAGCAAAGAGGCCGAGGGTTTCTTTGGCTTCTGAAAAGATGTCAGGGTGATTAGGCTAATAATGCCTGCTGAAGAGAACTGTTCTCTGCTAGGCCTCTGTTGGGAAGGAGTTTGCTTCCGAGCTTGTTTTTACGTGAATAGCACGGGTCCCTTTCCTCTCCCCTCTTTGCCCCAGTTAACCCAGCATTGAGGTTGCTTTGTGTCATCAGTTGAGACGATCCCAACGCCTGGTTTTAGCTCCCAGTGCCTCATTGCATCCTGTCAAGTGTTTTTCCTTGTCTGCCTCAGTTTCTCTCATGTGATGGTGCAGTTTATTTTCCAAAGCAAGGGCCGAGTGAGCTGATGTTTTTTACAGTCGTTATTAGTGCAAATAGGAGTAGGAAAATTATTTGGAGATGACGTGAAAGTGACATTTTAAAAAAAGAGCAGGCACAGCATTGGCACTGTTCTCAGGTGTCTGCTACTTTTTCAGCCAGTCTAGAAGACTTTGACTTTATAGTGCTTCTGTGCTCACTTCTTGGTTGAAATCCAGCACTGAAGTATGCTTTTGTTGCAAAGGTTGCTTACTGTCTTATCATAGGGTAAAGTGTAGCAACATGGTGTTGTAGCATGTAAGTTAACAAAGGTATGTGGGCTTTTGGGTTATACAGAATTGTTTTCTGAGAATTCTAATTCTGTGCTGTTGAATGAGTCAAGCTGTTGTGCTTATTTGATTTTTGGTACTTCTGCATAATACTGTAGTAGAAACCTGGTGATTACCACTGTTGTAGTTCAGTTACTTCATATTGGCATAATCCTAAAGGTAGTGTATATATGATACCTGTTGGATAAGTAAGCTGTCTTATCCTGCCAGGTCATTAGTACTGCCTTCTTTAGCTGTCTTTGCAATGCATACTTATCCATGGATAACTTAACCATAGTTTACTCAACCCAATTGTCTGAATTTTCATGACACATTGAACTGGACATTATCTGACCACATAGTTTTGTTCGTGCACCTTTCTGTAAAAAATGTGGTTGGTTACTTTGTCATTAGTTGCATTTTTGTGGAATTCTGGCTGAGGTTTTGTCAGATATTTACCTGAAATGCTTTGTAACCTGAAAATTATTTATTTCAAAACATGTACACCTCTCATCAGTAAATCTGTTTGACCTCCCAGAGAAAGAAAGAGCTTATTCATAAGTTACTTTTCTGATGCAAGGAAACAAATGATTTGTTGCTTCACTGCCAATGTAATTTGGAAATTCCTTTTTTTCCCCTTCAGTAAAATGGATGCATTGTAATCAGGCTTTGTCCTAATGTAAAAAAAAAAAACTTACAAGTTAGTTAGTTAGTTAGTTAGTTAGTTAGTTAGTTATTTATTTATTTATTTATTTATTTATTTATTTATTACAACATTATTACATTTACCATTTGCTCAGGAACTCAGGGTGGCCTACAAGCTATGTTAGTGGTGGGATCAAAAAGGTTAAGATAGCGGTCATGACAGTGCAATCCAGTTCATGTCACTTTGTACGTGTATGCAATATTAAGACAGTTACCAAAGGACAGAGCTTCAGTTGCATGGCTGCTTCTATCTTGAGCCCTTATGTATGCCACTGGGGCATATGTAGTGCTCCCTCTTATTTTTCCCCATAGCAGCATCCCTGTGAGGTAGATTGGTTGAGAGAGGAAAACTGATCTCAAGTCAGTAATATTACTAATTTATGTAGAACTAATTTAGAATGTTCAATTTCCTTTGTCTTCATTGTTATAGTAAGCATGCAACAATCATATAGGGGTTTTAAATACTATTTTAACATTTCAAAGAATGAGAAATAAGCATACTTAGTAAACTTGAAGCAAAAGCATACTTAAGTTTATGTGGGGTATATGACAAAATACAGATTTACCATTCATGTAGTGATTAGTTAATATTTATTTGTTCCAATAAGAATTTGAAATTATACTCATGTTTTATAACAATTAATGAAATACTACTTGAAAAGGTTTATTTATCCCTTAAGAAAATGTATTTTTCCCAGAGTTTTAAAGCATCTCTTTTTATTGCATATTACATGTGAGATAAATTGGAATTTTCTCTTTTGATCTGTCTCTTTGGTCTTATTTAGATATGCACTTTCTGCAATTAAAGGTACAATGTAGTGCTATTGGATTTCTACCAGCAAAGAAGTGGAGATATCTTGCATATCAAACACTTGGCTAATTATTGTGTATCGCTTTCTGTTAAAATGAGAATTAAAAGCAGCAGTGGCACACCAAATTCTGCATTAGCCTTGTAGTTTATTGCATAGAGATTCAATGTAATTTAATTTCAGAATAATAAAAAAATCTACGTATGAGTAGCTTTTCTTTGATATTAGAATACATTATATATGCAAGTTCGCAGTATCTTAAAGCGCAGTTATTGTGTATTTAAAAGAAAGACATACTACATCCAGGAGGAATAATTTTCTAATGTGCATTTTCAGTTTTATATTTATATCCTGTAGATTTTTGAATGTGACAGAAACAAGTAACTGCAGCTTTACTCTTAAAATCATCTTGCTTCATTTCAGTGGGTGGAGGGTAAGTTGGGCATAGCAACCTAGTTTAAATAGAAATCAGGTCTCAACTATCAGTAGTTCACCAGGATAGTTGGTTTGCTATGGGCTCCCTTAACTGTTATCTAAGGAAGCAATGGTAGCAGAAAACGGCAATGATATTAAATGTTCTTCCCCACCGTTCTAATTGCAAATGTGTTAGAATTTAAAATCTTTCGGAAGAAGTTTAGATGTATAGTAGTACTTGTCATATTTTAAACGAGTTATAGCATTTTTGAAAACTTATTAGTTGAGGCCATATAGTTCACCAGTTAAATGTAACATTAAAACAGTTACTGTTGCCGTAATGTCATAGCATTGATTTATAAGTTAGAAATTATTCAATTAAATATTATGACATGTAAATTTAATTTTTTGTAGTACCAAACAAAAAAATCCTTATAAATGAAATCATGAAGTTGCCTGCCCCATAACTTTATTTTAAAGTAAGAATCATATATTCTGAAAGAATCTGATGCATTATCTAGTTTAAACCTCATTATATCCTGGTTAAAATATCTTGTCCTTAGAGTATCTTCCACAGAAGCCACAGTTCAAAAATTGAACTCCTCAGTTAAAGAATTACATAGAATTGAAACTCCTCAGTTAAAGAATTACATAGAAGTTGGCAGGAATTTACTGAAAGATAAAGCTGGTCCACAATAGCAAGAAAATTTAGAACGCAATTGGGAAATTGAACAATATCAAAGCAGGATGGAAAAGCACCAACATATAGCAGCCAATAAGCAGCGCTCCACTTGCTTCTAAACAGTAAATTACCAAAAAAATTATAAGGAAGAAATGAAATAGTAGGAGCATTAAGAACATGAGTACAGGTAGTCCTTGGGTAATGACCACTCTTTCAGTGACCATTTGATGTTGTGATGGCACTGAATGAGTGGTGGTTATGACTGGTCCTCGAAGTTCCAGCGGTCCCAGCACCCCCGTGTTCATGTGATTGCAATCTGGGCACTTGGCAGCCGGTTTGTACTTAGAACAGTTGCAGTGTTCTGTGGTTATGTGATCGTGATCTGTGACCTTCCCTGCTGGCTTCCCACAAGCAAAGTCAATGGGGAAGCTGGCAGAGAAGGTCACAAGTTGCTTGGGTAAGTCTCTCCCACCTGTGCATCTTCCCACAGCCCCTCTGCACTCCTGCCATTCCATGCCTTTATGGCCACCCGCACACCCTTGCACACACTCCCTGGCCACTCATGCACCCTCCCCCACCGGGCAGCAGGCATCCCAAGCCTTGTTGCCCTCACACTGTGCTTTCCCTGCCACTTGCACACCCTCCCTGAGCCTTGCTGCACTTGCACCATGCCTCCCCAGCCACTGCACTCTCCCATCTAGCAGCAGCCACCCAAGCCCCGCTGCACTCACGCCGCCCCTCCCCACCACTTGCACACCCTCCCCAAGGCTTTCTGTGCTCGCACTGTGTCTCCCCATCCACTCACGCATGCTCCCCAAGCCCCACTGCACTTATGCTGTGCCTCCCAACCACCCATGCACCCTCTCATTCTGTCTCCCACCTGGCAGTAGTCACCTGGGACTTGCAAGCTGCCTGAGACTCGCAACTTCCTGCTGGCTTCCCTACTGACTTTGGTTGTTGGAAGCTGGCAGGAAGTTGCAAGGATGTGCTTGCTTAACGACCCACCATCATCACTTAACAACAGCAACGGGACTGCAGGGATTTCTGTCGCTAAGCGATGCAGCCATGTAACATCACACTTTATGACCGCATCGCTTAGTGACAGAAATTCTGCTCCCAATTGCTGACATAACTTGAAGACTACCTGTATTCTAGAGACTGTTTTACAGTGGTGGAGATGGAAAATGAAATCTGGTACAACTGCAGATCTTGATGACATTCAGCTTGAGCAAATGAAACACTTTGGGCTGGGCACTAGGAAATGGCTCCTGGAACTGGATACTGTAAAGGCAGATTAAAACATGGAGATAGTCATGTATTTATCACTGCTGAAACCAGTGATATAAAAATGTTCAGTCTCCCTCCTATTCCGTCTATACAACTTGAGTACATAATTCTGAAACACCTTTCACCCTTAGAGAATAAATAACTCATACTTGACCAAGGAGAATTGCTTTCAAC